ATAATAAAAAAATATGTGAGTAACCATCTAAATTTTAAAATACAATATTATAATAATATAATATAGTAAATGTAAAAATTATTTTATTTAAAAATATAATAATAAGAAAAACACCACGTGCTACTCTTCTAAAATTATAAGCGTGATACTTTTTTATTTGTCAATCATTTTAATTTTGCTGTCATATCATCACGTTGAATATGTTGTCTCGACTATAATTTATTCGTTTTAACTCTGATTCGAGTAATTGAAAAGTAGTTGAGATCGTTATTTTTAACTTTATACGGTAGTTAATAATTAATTGTAGGTTTGTTATCATAAAAAAATATTCATCAATTGGTTGGGATTAATTAAATGATAAAAAGCCAAAAAAAAAAAAACCCTATTAATTTAAGACAAGGTGACAAAATATACTATGAAAGATAATTGACACGTGGTGTATTTATTATTCCTTTGCACGAAGTAATCAACACGCTCCATCCACATCAAGCTCCTCTTGACCTATTAATAAATTAAACAAATATTATTATTTATTTATTTTCTTAATTTCCATATTATCAACTAATATAATTAATTAGTGAATATTATTTGAAAGTAAACAAACAAATGAAAGGATTGGAATCGTTTTTTTTTTAAAATAGAAAAGCAAAGCTTTGAAAATTAAAAAAAAAAAAAAAAACAAATAAAAGTTTTGGTTTGTGGAAGTTAGGTAAGAATATGATGAAAATTGTGGCAAAAAATTATTTTAAAATTTTAGATACTTATAAAATAATGGTATTTATTTATTTACTAATTAAAGTTTTGGATTAAATTTCATTAAAGGTAGGTGGAAAGTTGAAAATTAATTATCTCCTCATTTTAAATATTTTTAATAAAATAATTTTGATAATAATGATAAATGTTGGTGAATGTTTAAACAATATCCATTAAATTAACATAAATGTCAACCGAATGCATAAATAAATTATTAAAGTGTGAAGGTTGTACCGGTGGAGCGACGAAGGAAGGAGAAAAATACAATTCCCCATTTCTTAAGCTATCTCATATATATATATATATATAATTATTAAGAAAGATAAAAATAAAAAGAAAATTCTTTAATCCCAGTTATTATTAAAATAAAATCATTTAAAGTTGAACGCTAGGATCCGAGCCCTAGCGAACCCAATTCGAAGCTCAAATAGTCCTTAAGATGAGTGTAACAACTCAAGTTCACCGCTAGTAGATATTGTACTATTTGAGCTTTTCCTTTCGAGCTTTCCCCTCAAAGTTTTTAAAACATATTTACCAAGGAGAGGTTTTCACACCCTTATAAACCATGTTTTGTTCCACTCTCCAATCAATGTGGGATTTCACAATCCACCTCTCAGAGAACCTAACATATTCGCTAACACTCGTTTCTCTCTTCAATCAAAGTGAAATCTCACAATTCACATCCTTTTTTAGGCTCCCTAACACACCGCTCTATGTCCACCCCCTTTGAGCCTCAATATCTTTGTTAGCACACCGTCCAGTGTGTGGCTCTTGTGAGATCTCACATCGGTTAGAGAAAAGAACAAAACATTCTTTACATGCGTGTGGAAACTTCTCTTTAGTAGATGAGTTTTAATAACAAGTCTAAAACAAAAAAACTCAAATAAGATAATATTTACTAGTGGTGTAAATAAGCTATTAACACGCAAACCAAGAGCTAAAAAACTTAAAAGTCCACCTTAACCAAAACCAACTAGTACGAGAATTGCAATTCATGACATGGGTGTGTCTAGTGAATCTGTTTATTGTAGCGTAGCCAAACGTGTTAGTGATTGGTGCAACATTCTTTTACAGACTTTATGAAATGAATTGATTGACCAAATCATTAATTTTGGGATTATAATTGATATTAAAATGGCCTCAACAATTTTTTTTTTTTTTTTTTTTTTAACATAATCTCTAAGTATTAGGAAGGTGGGTCGAAAATCCACCATGGTTAATTGACTTAATATTTAATTAAGTCTAAAAGACTTTATTTTTCTCTCTCTATTTCTAAAAAATACTTTAATTAATTAAGTAATTTAATGAAAGAATCATTTGTGGGCGTCGAGATTGAAAGCCAAAAATCTTTAATGGAAGATTAGTCGTATTCCAAGATATATATATTATAATCAACTTGCTAAATGATAATTAGACTAAAGGTGTGAACTAATAATATAAAATTCCAATAAAATATTAAAAGTACTTTACATATATATGCAATATTACCCTTATTTATTGATTGATATTTTGGAAGTTTATTTAGTAGATAACAAAATATGATAATAATAATAATAATAACAATAAGAGAATATAGCTACCCGCTCTCTTGAAATTTAAAATTTTTAAAAAAATAATAATAATTTATGAATATATATATACATATATAATAACTAAATATGCATATATAATAAATTAAAATTGAAATTTATAGTTAAATTTTGTTAATGTGTAAATTGATGTTAAAATTTATTAAATATTTTTAAATTCTACATAATTTGATGGTTTTATTATTATTATTATTATTATATAAAATAGTTGAATAAAAAATAAAATTACTATTTTCAAATTTGACGCTTTCTCGTTTGTTTTCAGATCATTATTTTAATTGCCATGTTTTTTTTTCAATTAATAAATTAAATAAATGCAATGAAGGCAATTTTATAATTTTGTTGATTAAAAAAAAAACAATTTACATTACAAATTATCTTTTATTTTTCCAATCATTAGAAAGAGAAAAACAATACAAAAATGTGTAAATATATCTTTCGGGAAACATTATCTTTTGGCACACACTTTGAGAGCTCTTATTTCGCCAACGTGACACTAATAAAAAATAATTAAAAGTTTCTAAATACCATAAAATGAATATTTACCGATATTAATACAATATTATCAGTTTTCTATCGTTTAAATAATACTATAAGCACGTTTGTTTTAAATATAATATTTCTAATGCATTTTAAAGCATACATTTACATTTAGTTATTAATTTATTAACAGAGATTTAAATATTTATATCCCACATGTTGTATAAAATATAATGCGAGAATTTAAAAGTTTACCAAATTATTTCATTAAATTTAACAGCGATGAAAATTTAATGCCAAATTTAATTTAATTTAATTTAATTTAAAAGTGTTGATCGGCAAGAACTTTATTGTCATCTTTTTCTATGTTTTGAGATTGAGTCTGTCCAAAAATTTTATAAATGTGTCTATGAAATTTGGTACGATTTTAAATTTAATCCATTTTTATACATATGTCTATGGGTCGAAGAGAATTGATACCTCTATTATGCCATAGAAAGAAAAAATGACAAAGCATAAAAAAAATAAATGCAAGGACATAATATTGATAATAAAAAATTAAATTTATTTAAAAAGAGAAATGGATGTTTGTTAATTTAAATATTTTTATATGAATTTTTACATTTATAATTTAGAAAAAACTTATTTATTATTTTTGACAATATTTCTATGGTTATTTTTGTAAAAATTGATATATCAACGGTTTAAGTTGACGTAGACCCACACCCTAACTGTATTAAATACAAAGAAATATTGACGGATATATGCCACGTAGTGATATGGACAATATATTTATTTATTTTCGTTAAAAAATACCAAGAAAATGAATCAAATTGCAATTATTATTTTTGTTTGGAAATTTCTTTTGTTGCGTGCTGTACGAATATAAAGACCTTACTTTCCCTCTTCAAAGGGATCAAAACCCAAATTTTTCTAGAAAATGTCATTTTGTACCATTGGGATTTCATGCCCGGAGCTGTATCAGACCTCTTCCCCGTTGGCGTTGTCGGCGTTCTCCTCCGGGGACGGTGACGCCACTACTACGTCTGTTACCGATATCCATCCAGATGTTCTCCGAACTCACATCTTGACGCGTCTCGATGGACCAGCACTTGCCGCGGTCGCCTGCACTTCGTCGCAACTTCACTGCCTCACTACCGACCCAAACCTCTGGGCGGAACTTTGCCGCTCCACGTGGCCGTCGACGGCGACACAGCGCCTCCACGCTCTGATTTCAGAATTTCCCAACGGTCCTAGGTCCTTCTTCTCTGATTCCTTCCCTCGTCTCTCTTACAACTCCGAAACTTCAACCTCTTCTTCTCCGTCCTCGGCAACCTACAGCCGCCGCCGCCATCACTTTACGCCGGAATTGATCTCCGCCGTCGACATCTACTACCGGGGAGAGATGGTTTTCAGCAAAGTCGTGGAGACAGAGACCCTCTCCGGATGGTTCCGATGCACGCCGTTTCGAATCGATATGCTTGATCCTAAAGACGTAGTTCAAACGCCGATTAAATTTCCAATCGGCGACGGAAATACATGCTGGGAGCTTACGGAGGATCTGACTCTGAGCTGGATCATGATCGACACCGCCGGACGGCGAGCGATAAATCTGTCGAGCTATCGGCCGGTCAGCGTGCAGCGACACTGGCTGAGCGGGGAGGTGCACGTACGATTTGCAGCCGTGCTCGACGGTGAAAGAGGAACGGCGACGGAATGCGTGCAGTGCGGGATTGCAGTGACGTGCGGAGGATGGGAAGGAGGGAATTTACAGGTGAGGGAAGTGAATTTGCAGGTGGAGGATCTGGACGGAACATATTTGAATGGGAAGGATAGTTTAGTAATTTTGGAGAGAGCGTTGGAGGGTAAAACGGGCAGAAGGGGAAGGAAAAAGTTGGAGGAGTTTATGGAGAAGAAAAGGGAGAGGAAAGAAAGGACGTTGAGGAGAGAAGGGACGTTAGATAAGGTGTGTTTGGCTTTTGGGTTTCTTGGGTTTGCTACTTTCCTTCTTTGTCTTATTATTTAAATCATAAATTAAAACTAAATAAAATTAAATAACTACAAGACTATTCATTCACACTATCAGTATTATATTTATGAAAAAAAAAAAAAAAAAAACTATATTACGAGCAACCTTATAAAACTATTTATAAAAAAAATAATATAGTATCATCCTTTCAAAAAATGCTGACTTGATAGATAATAAATAAAAAGATCATTCATATTCTTGATAGTAATTAAAATTTTCTCCCTAACACCCAAGGCTCTCTCTCGTGATGCCATTAGCTCGCTTTCCTAATGACTCTCTTTTCCCTTCAAGTTCAAAGATTGTAAACGAAGAAAAATTTCTCATCCGTCCCTCATGTTAATGAGACTTAAAACTTATTTTAAACCTTGAGACTAATGGATGCAAAAAGAAAAGGCAATCTGCAAACTAAGAAAAGGCATAAGTGTCTGTATGTCAGTTGAACTATAGTTAAATAAGATACTTAGCAAATGGGAAGAAAATTTAAAACTTTTAAAGAAAAAAAGTCTGTTAATCTAATTTCTACAAAGTTTAAAAATTCCTGCAAGCTGACCTCTTTTTCCTGAAGCTTTTTAGCACATCTCTAGCATGAAGCAAATTGCTGATAGAACATGTCTGAATCACACTTTCCATGCACAGCTACTACGTGGGTTCCCTCCCTGTTCAGCTAATTCCTTTCTGATAAATGACGGAACAATCACTTATCAGTTTTCTCCTTTAGGAGGTCCTCTCGCTATAAGATTTCTGCCAATTGGAAGGCAGTTTCACATAGTCCGCAAAAATAAGCCTTCCGTTCAAAGGCTGCAACAAATAAACATTAGACTTGCATTTCTAAGATGTAAAAGTAATGATAGAGGAAAGTGCAGACCTTCCGTTCATCTTTGTCAGTACAATATGCGCTTCGTCTTCAGATGCAAAGGTGACAACTCCAAATCCCTTTGACTTAACAGAGGCTCTGTCCATCAAAACTTTGGCTGGAGTAGAGAGAATTGTTTTTTGAAACTAAATTGCCATTGTAAGACATGAAAGCTAAAGTATCTGAATGGAAGCCATCTTCCACAACCTAACCATATCGAGAAAAGGCATCCGATAGTCCTTTGCCCATGGTGTAGAATGAGAGTACTGTAGCAAAATATTCCAGAACAAGGATTTCAATATGGAATAAGGAATTGTAATATGCATAGACTGATAAAATATTCAAAAGCAAAAATCTAAAGAGCATTATCATATACAAATGATTATATTCCTTTCCACAAGAACAGTAAACAAATCTATTAATCAATGTGGTGCTTGTGACTTGATCCGCTAGCGCTGGTTCGATTTCTGCCAAAAAATAAAACAATTTACAGGGATTTTATACTTCTTGTCCATTCTTTGAGTGAGTCGGGTCATCGGTTGGCTAGCTTCACCAGCTTGGCTCATCAGTCATCAGCTGATTAATGACTAAAGCAGAGTCGGAGAGGTTTTGACTTTTCAGCGAAAGTTGAGCTCGTTCGTTGACCCTCCCCTTGGATTTTCTTATTTTTATCTGTGAAGTATGTAAGAATCTTCTATAAAGGAAAGAAACTTGAGATCAAAGGTTAACAATGAAAGAGGGATTAATATTGGGTCATGTCCACAAAATCCACTAATCCCATCACAGAACAAGTTGATGTGGCAGTTTGCCAGAACAAGAACACGCTAACGTTTATCCACAATCATGGTTAAGCTTAAGAACCTTAGACATCCTAGATTTGTAAAGCTAAAGCTGCATATGCACTCTTGGTCTATAGGTCTTCTTTTAAAGAGAGTTCAAGAGAGCTTCTACAGTTTTAGCTATTTCAGGTGATTTATGGCCGGTTTTGGTGATCAAGTACAACGAGCAATGGCAACCAAATAGGTCTTCCAATACAATAGAAAAAAGATTTAGGGAGTTGAAGCTCACGGAAGATGGAAACAAGCTATGATAGTTTATGAGGAAGTTGTAGCAAACACAAGAGAGGCATCATTAGTGGGGAAATTTCTGTGACAAAAGAATGTTTTATTTTGACAGGAAATACATTTTGAACAACCTGGAAAGTATTCCATGAGAAGGCATTAGACGCAATGAAAACTCTCTTCATATTCAATTTCTCCGAGATTAGGTTGATAGCTTTAAAATGATCGTGGATGTGCATGGGTTACAGCAAGTGACTAATCTGTTTGGTATAATTGCTAAAGATAAATCCTACAAAAAGTGATAAAGATGGTTTGGAAGTAAATATTCAAGTAAAAGCATTAAAGACATGCCACACTGCACTCTTAGTGGATGATGAAGCTACCTGGGAGGTTCATATTACATTATGCTATAGATCTGGGGTTTAGGAACTTAACCATCTTTGGGCAATGGATAGTACCAAAAAGAAACATGTTCAATGGTGAAGAGGAAGACCTCCCAAAAGTTGGCTCGGTGCTTGCGTACATCATGACTCCAATTCAACTAATGAAATCTGATGTATAAGTTATGCTATTTTTTGTCTCTCCATAAGTAAATGTAGACTAAGATCAAGGATGAAACATTTTACAAATTCTGTACATTCATTTCATATCTAACCAGCATTTTGATCTTTAACATCAACATTAAGAGAAAGTATGCAAATCATTCGATGTTTATCCTTTACAATATATAGAACAGATAATCAAATTTTAAAATTAATATCAATACAACACGTTCTCCCCAGAGGCCAAAGTTTTCCACGATCGCGGTTTCCAGAAGTAAATTAACACGAGCTCACATTCAGACAGTCAAATTTTCACTGGTAACTTTAAAACAAAGTTTACATTTCACAAAACTAAACGTATGGACATCACAGAGAGCTTAGTTCAATCATACAAAGTTAGCTCAATTCACAGAAACAGAGGAACGGTTAATGAACATAAAAATAAAATTCACGGCAAAAAATGTGATTTCAGTTCTGAAACGTAGACTGCAACGTTAGATGGACACGATGAATGGAAAATGAACAGAAGAATAGAGAGGAGGAACGCTTGGCTTACCACCAACAACAAGCTTCGAAGCTATGCCTCTAAAAGAGACGAGACGAGACGGCGGTGGAAATATAGGGGGAAGAACGCGACGATTAAAGGATATTGCCGTCGCTTTTATGGTCGCCGACATGGTAGTAGTATCAAAGTGATACTATGCGTTCATCTTCGTGTCGAGAGCGCGGGGGTTAAAGAACGGCGGCCGGAGGCTTAACTGACTGGAGTAGCGACGGGGACAAGTGGTCGTATAAAAGATTCACAGCCCATTCTGCCGCATTCTGGGCCGAGCCCATTGGAACCCCAACACGAAATCGGCCATCGTAACGAGGCGAAATAAAAGAGTGCGTAAAATATTTTGTTAAATTATAAGGCTAAATTAGGAGTGGTTATTTTTTAAATATAAAATATTGTTAAATTTAACGACTAAACTTCTAATTTAACTTTTAAAAAATAAAAATAAATATAAACTATCCATTTCTATAACGTATATATATATATATATATATATATATATATTTTAATACCAAAAAAAAGTTCAAATATTAAATATAAAGTTTCAATATAAATATAAAAAATTGCTTATTGGAATGGACCGCTAAGAACAATAACCCATCAATATAAAGTTTCAGTAACCACAGATCAAAGACATTACAATTGCTAGATTATCCTGTAAACAAATTTGTAGCTGTGTTTATTCAGATGCTCTGGAGAAAAATTGAACAGAAGCGGACACGAGAACCCGAAAGAAGGGGTCACCAATCAAAGAACAAATGCATAAAAAACTGCCTAGAGATGGAAAAAATTCCAGGCAGGTATATGGAAAACTATTGTTAGGCTAGGTCCTAAGTTCCTTTAGTCGTTGTATTAATTCTCCACCCGCGTGCAGCGAGTGCCGAATTTACCCGATTTGCAGCGTCTGCAGTGTCGTTGAGGGGAGAGTAGCTCCAACTATCTGATATCTGTGAATCAAGAGATCAATCTATCAGGAAAGGTTTGATCTGTAATGTCTAAGTAATAATGATCAAAAGGAAACCATAGGATTGTCAAATTTAGTTACAGACATGGCTGAAGTTTACTACATGAATCCTGAAAACATAAGGAAGATAACTGGACTTACAACTTCTTTACCGGTGAACGGCCTGACCACTCCTTGTTCGGCGAGGGACTTCTGGAAGTCGGCAAACTTCCACGTGCATCGGTCAGCTCCAATCACATAGACGGGTTTCCTTCCGAGATTACAGACATGTCAGACAAACAGATGAACAACGTGAATGGTGTTATACCATATTAGTTACAAGTGTGCAATTTGTACTTTAAACATACCCAGTACTGCAAGCCTCACTCAACATACTAACTGAGTCTGCAGTTATTACAAAAGCGTCAGCCCATGCTAGATGCCCGAGATGCGGATTTGGTCCTATGTAACATAATATGAACAAAGATCTTAGACAAGGTTCTATAATACAGAGTAATTATCATACATGTTTCTAGAAAAACAAGGCAACTGAGGTACCTTCACCATCCCAAATGAAGACTTTAGGATGGGTGCTGAATTCTTCCACCAAGAGTTTGGATATCTAACATCATACCAGGAAATATGATCATCAAATCCAAAAACAAATAAATAAAATGTGAAATCTCACGTCGGTTGGGGAGGAGAACGAAACATTATTTATGAGGGTGTGGAAACCTCTCCCTAGTAGACACGTTGTAAAGACCTCGAGGGAAAGCCCAAAGAGAATAATATCTGTTAGCGGTGGACTTGAGCTGTTGCAAATGGTATCAGAAAGCTAGACACTGAGTGATGTGCCAGCGAGGACGCTGGGCCCCGAAAAGGGGTGGATTATGAGATCCCACCTCAATTGGGGAGGAGAATGAAACATTCTTTATAAGAGTGTGAAAACCTCTCCCTAGTAGACGCGTTTTAAAAACCTTGAGGGAAAGCCCAAAGAGAACAATATGTGCTAGTGGTGGACTTAGATCGTTACATAAAATAAAATATAAATCAAGTGATCAGGCATCGACGGACACCTTCTCTGGAGTTCGACGTGAAAATGAGATCCTAACACTTCCACAGCTCCACATAATGTTTTGCAGCATAGTAGCTAACTGCTTTGCAAGATCGACACCATAGTGACAATTGCCTGTATAGATCATATAGATGCAAGGTAGGGTTAGTCTATCAAAAGAAGAGTGGGGGATAATAATATCAATACAAGAACAGTTTAGATTTGAAAGGGAAAAAAAATCACACAATTTGAAGTGATTCCAAGAAAGATTTGCACATGATCTTGGTCAACAACCATTCTAACGTTTTTCTAGAACCAGAAGTAAAAAATTACTTGATGGGCCTCCAATATTAACAACGAGCAGTGGTTTTGGAAGATAAGCCAATTCATCATGCCATGTAGAAGCTGCACACCTAAGTGCAGCAAAATCAGCCTGATGAAGAGCTCCAACCGTAAGAACCTGTGGATCAAGGTTCCAAATGATGAACAAATGCAACAATCAATAATTATCATTGTTTTTCAGTGTGCTATGCATCAAGCGTATATGCGGAGCTAAGACTTACCACATTTTCTCCAGGAGGTTCACAAGGAGTAATCCACCGACGAAGCAACCAAGGAATCTGTTGTCGTGCTTGAGGAGTCAACGAGTAATAATCGTGACGAGGAGCAACTACCAAATCAAATCTATCTAACCGGGACCTCGGATGTTGAATCTGAAGCAATATATAAAGATTTTAAGCACCTGATTAATGGTAAATAAAGATTAAGACTCCAGATAAACAAAAAATAAGTTCAGACCTGACAATCTCAACAATTTTAGTCCACTATAATCATTATAAAGGGGGATTATACAGAGAAAGGGGCTTCACCTGGACAACAAAAACATTTTCTGGAGCAAACCTTTTAATCGAGCTAGCAACTGAAATGGTATCTCTGCCAGATGCGATTACAAGCAATGGGCCATCCCTAACAATGATATAGTAGCACATGAAGTGAAGTAATTAGAGGACAGCCCTGCATCTGATCAGGAATTAGCTATCAATTTAGTAGTTTCGTCTAAAAAAATTTAAGAAAAGCCACCATCAGACACAAAATATACAGATTACAGCAAACTATTACAATATTAACTCTGTCTTCTTAGCCTTTGGAGCTAATCAACAACATTCAATTTAATAAAACCACTCTACTGGGAATATATCCCAAAGTTGTCAAACTAAATATAAGATAAAGGATTCAGATTTTTATTTGAGGAATAGTACTCATAACCTCAAGAGTTGGAAATGTCGGTCGAGACATTGGATTTACCAACAGGCAAAGGGTTCAGAACCTCTAGAGACCATTGAAATGGATTGTATGTAACCCCATTTTTCTAACATGCCATTAGAAAGAACGTACGAACATACTTATCAAATGTTTCACGTGCCACTTTTGCAATTTGCTTTGCATCAGCTTCTAAAACGTGTGATAAGCCTGCAAATACCAATTCCATCAGGAATACCTTCTAGAGTCCGACTTAGGATAACTAAAGGGTCAAGTCCAAATAATTGCTATAGTTTCTTGTAATTAGGAAATTTATTCATATATAGTTTACATCAGCCTCTGAACTCCTATTTTACTCGTTCAGTCGATGACTTACAAATTGACAGAATAGTTACTCCGGCCGTGTTTGATAATCATTTAATTTTTAAAAATTAAGCTTACAAACGCCGTTTCTATCTATGAGTTTGTTTGTTTTGTTATCTACTTTTTCTAGGAGTGTTTTCAAAATCCAAGGCCATGTTTTGAAAACTAAAAAGAAAATGGTTTTTAAAAACTTGTTTTTGTTTTTAGAGTTTAGCTATGAATTCAAATGTACTCTTAGATTCTTGAAGTTTTAGAGAGTTTTTATTCAAATGCCAGAGGAATGATCGGCCGGACAGAGGCTAGGGCTGCTTTCTTCCCACCGCGTCCTTCAAATGCCAGTGGTACCATTTCTACCGCAGTAAAGAATGGTGAGAAAATAGGCACAATTTTCAAACACCAAAATCACTAGCATACAACAAGGAAGGCTATGATACTAACCCCTATATCAGCTTCACTTTCGAAGAATCATTTTTATAAGCAGTTCACTTCATAACCAATTCTCAACATAATTTACTAGTGAATTGTGAAGAATTAGCAAGCATTACCACTTTTCTTGGTCAGCGAAGGCATTCCATTATTCCCTTCTACTTTTATGCTAGAATCACCAAAAATTTGCCTGATAAAAATGTCCAATTTCTTATGGACAGAAACTGGGAGCCAATGAAGCCACTTATTGATCCCTCCCCTTGGCCTCATAACCCGCTGCACAGCAAACATAGACGAATTACAGCCGATGAATCCTTCAAATAAGCTGAGTTATAAAGCTTGCACGCAAAATCAAACCCAACTGTTCATATGCATTCGTGACACGAATAAATAAAACACACATCGAGAGTGCACATAACTCTGAAGTTAATTGAATTAACTGGGCTGTTATAATCAAACTCGATTAAGGAAGTGAGTGACCACCAAAAAATTGATTTGGGAAAGGCATAGTTTATATAAACGATTGAGAAAAACAACAATATACTCACGTAAAGAGAGTGCCGACCTGAAAGGCCGAGAGCTCGAACCAAACCCAGGCACTGGTTCTCCGCGCCGGGGAAGCCATTTCCGATCACGACGGCCCTCCTGATGGCGCCGTAGACGCCGCCATCGAAGATCTCCGGCACGCGGGATGAACCATTTGAAGGCTCCGGAAGTCTGATCGGTCTCATTTACAGTCCAATGCCCTTCACAATAAGTAAGGTATACAAATAATTTTTTTTTGAAGCTTAGATTGAAATATTAATAAAACTCGCAATTTGCATTACAAATTAAAAATATTTTATGGTTTAATGAAATCAATTGATTATATTTTATTTTGTATATATGTAATGAAACGAGTCGGGTTTTTATTGGGCCTAGTTCATTTGAGGCCCAATAGGAATAAAAGCCCATTTTGCTCTGTCGTGTTTACTTCTTCCTTTCCCCGCGAAAAAGTTTCTGCGATTTTTCTGTGAAGCGACGATGTGGGCAAGCGCTGAAGGAGGGCCGCCGGAGGTTACTCTGGAGACTTCCATGGGTTCTTTCACCGTCGAGGTACTCTTTCGCTTCTCATTTATTTAGTTCTTCGTTTAGCTTCTC